GTTATAGTAGCAGCATGGTGAGATATAAAATACTAGTAATTATGGTGAGGTATAGAATCAGTATTGTCACTTGTGGGATCAGCTGAGTTGGAATTCGGAGCTGTAGGTGGGACGCACTAAGGTAAGATTTGGAAGCAGTCATGTTTGGGATGACAGTAGGGTTGTGAGATATGAAAGTATGTTTGTGGGATTAGTATTGTCATAAAATGAGAGCGGATTTGAAACACTAGGTTTTGGTAGAGTGACAGTTTTATGAGAAGTGATACCGGTATTGTCAGAAATTGGGTCGGTATTTGGAAATATAGACGGAAAATAACATGACATTTATTGCATCCATTAGCCAACATGATCTCTGTGTTTCAGGATTAAGGAAACGACATGAGGTAATTAAAGGCGTGATTGCACCACGACGCCGGGGGCAGAGGCGGGGGTCCCTCCGAGGACATAAAGTACACTGGTATTTAGACATTTAAGCATCATCTGTCAGACACGAATTGTGTGGAAGACAAGCCAGTGTATATTTAGGGACCAACTGTTTAATAGTTTGACTTCTTATTTTCCTACCAAAGACACCCCCATCGATACCCCCTTCAAGGGAATACTAAAGCAGGTCAAACTTATTCATGAATACTATCTATACTTCCCTATTATAAATTTAGAAGATACTTCTCAATTTATATCTATTTTTATTTAAATGTTCGTTGGACTCCTCATTTGAAAGAAAAATATTAAAACCGTGTCAGAATCAGTGAGCTATTCCATCTCTTACAAAGATGTAGCCCCAGAGTTTTACACGGCTTGATACACTGCCGCCAGTAAGGGTTCTTGGTTTAGTGCCAATTTAGCGCTCAGAGGCTACAGGACATTGGTGTAAAACACTCAGTTATGACTCACTTATTAGTTTGATCGGTGTTACTGGCTATGACTTATTGGAGTCACGATGATGTTATATATTGCTACACTACCGGTTTATTGCTGTCTATTCGTGTACACATCGTGCTTTATATCCTGTACTGCTAATGTGGATTAACTGCTCTTAATTCCAACAGATGATATTAATATTCTTCAGGAACACATGAAAATTGCTTTTGGTTAAAAATTGAAAAATAAACTGCCCATTCTCTTCATATAGACCAATCGATATTCATACATCAATATCGATACATCACTATTCATAGCTCAATGGTCATACATCACTGTTCATACATAAATATTCATACATCATTATTCATACATCACTATTCATACATCAATATTCCAGTGGCGACTTCGTGCAAAGAAATGTGCAACAATATGAAATATCTCGATTTCTGTTCCACTGCTACAACACCGGTGATAGTAGGTGCTTATTGGGGACGCAAGGCTCGCCTGTCTGTTACGAGGCATGTAGTCTTACCCATTGTCATGTGAGGGATTATACGGGTGATTGGGCTTACCTCAGTTGTCTAACTGTATAATAAATACACATGGCACATGTACTAATATTGAATAAATGTATGAGGTTTTACGCTTCGGGTATCTAAATACTATACTATCTAAATTCCGAGGAAAAAACCCAGCCTGGATTAGCCGCCGAAATAATTCCATTAAAGGCAAAATAGCGATGATGGATGGATCTTTGAAAATCAGTCCTGACATTAGGTCTTCGAGAAAACGGTAGGCATGTCCTATCCTATTGGCCGCTTCACACAATTTGCATAAAAAACTAAGAAATATCCGGTCGAGGACATTTACAATGGTCATAACAAACGTTTTGTTTGCTGTATGGTAATGTTTATGAACATGTGTTGAGGCCTTACGTTTTGGTAAACACTTATTAACCCTTCTGTAACCAGATATGACATCATGGTTCAGATAAACAATATGCATGTTTCTAAAACTTGTCAGAATTCCATTTTTTCCGAGTGAAAGGTCACAAAAATACACATGTCTATTGAGTTAACTGTCTCAAGATCTTAAAATAAGAATTTGCCAAAAGAATTAACAAGAGAAAAACATCATTCTGCTCTTTTTTGGCATATTTATAAAGTTTTGTTGAAATAATACCAACACTTTTTTTGTGACGGGTGCCACTGGTGGGGCAGGATACGCTCAACTTTTCGCGAACACCTTGTGTCTTCACTATTTGATAGTGGTTCTAAAACACATTCTAATGGTAAAGTCGCAATCGCACAACCGAATATGCTTTCGGCAGATATTTCTTATGGATATCGACAGACCTTTGTAACTTTTATTAACTGCTAATGAACCGGTCTGAAAAATATATTTGAATTTGTACATGTCGTCCGTCAGTTCATTTCCTAACGAACTAACTTGTCTTGCAATAGACACGGTACGCCTATCTGCAAGGAATATGCTGGAATCATATTAAAGAGACAGTTTACAGACTGACAGTGGTGTTATGTTTTCTTAAAAACGGTTTAATATTCCGTTTTAAAGACAACACTTTTGCAATTTTCTCGGAAAAGAGAGTCTCGCGCGACAGACAGAGAAAACAAAGAGAAAGCTGTGACAGATGTCAGCATAGCAAGAAAAACCTACAAGTGATTACCACCACGTGGCACATTAATCACGAGGGAGACGACCCTGTAATGTTTGGGAAAGAACAACAAATTAGCGTTGTCATTTCAAAAGACACTTTTGTTCCTTGTACGCCGAGTATTGTTCTCGTAATAGAATCAATTTTAGAAAGGTGATGGACAATTAATATTTGTTCCAAAAATATAACAGTCAGATCCGGGACCAAAACAGGAGATGATACGCATAATAAAACTGCTTGAGGGAAATGTCAACGCGAGACCAGAGGTAGTGAACAACACGAAGGTCTGCTCAGCCTTCAGAAGACGATAAGAAGAATATACTTTATGAACACACTGAAGTGTTTTGCAACCTGTTATATGTACTGTAATAAACGATGTTTCCTGCTGAAAACAACACTAAGGAGCAGTGAACTGAAGTATGAAGTAAAATCAAATAAACTCAAAATACAGCCTTGTCTCACACTGGCTTGAAACATCACGGTGAGGTGAAATTATTTAGTTCACTTACATAGTGAGACATGCATGCAAGTGTGTGTGGCTGCTTGTACTTGTCCGAACTTGTGTTATAGTGCTTAAACAAAGCGACATCTAAGCATAATGACTTGTGATGGAATAGACCAGACAGTGAGGTTTCTCTTTGCGCAAAAAAAGAGTGAGTGAGTGAATGTGGTTTTACGCCGCTTTTAGCAATATTCCAGCAATATCACACCAGAAATGGGCTTCTCACATTGTACCTTTGCGCAGAAGAAGTTGCAACAATTGTGAATAGTGAGTCAAAGGCATCACATGAACATTGGTCAAGCAGAATGATGACAAATTCCTTATTATTGGGAACAGACAAAACTGAGCTCTGTTACAAACCAAAATATATAATACACAGGATCAAGGGTCATTATAAGTACGTTAACATTACTTACATCATGGTTTTATGTTTATTGTACTGCCTACATCCAATAGATCGATACGTCTACATTACTTTCAGAGACCACACAATGATAATTGGTAGAAACAAGATGTTTCCGTCGCCTGCACATCAAGGAGGGATTGGATGATCTATTATTGTTAAGATTATTAATAAGACAAACGTCATTGTTTTTAGAAATGGCGGTACACTAGCTAGAAGAGAGAAATGGTTTTATCAAGGACATTCATCAGATGTTGTATCGTTCTATAAGTACTCAGGTATATATTCATTGAATGTAACACTAAAAACATTTAGATTTGCAAATGCAAGATTCAGATGTAGTTCACACGAACTCTTTATCGAGACGGGAAGATATATGAGGATCGTGAGAGAACGCAGAGTTTGTCAGTTTGGGGGAGTTAAACACTGTAGAAAGTGAGAACCATTTCTTGCTACTTTGTCCGTTGTCTGCTGAACTCAGAAAACAGTTCATTGATAAATATTATATCCGTTATCCAAATTTAATTTTCTTTTTATTTCGTTGATGTCAAGTAACAATTTAGTAATGACGACAAAACTGTACATATGGCAAGGGACGAAGCTAAGAAGTTCCACATGTGTTACGTTATACGCTGTCTAATCGAACCCACCAAGAATTTTTCGGAGAATGTGAATACTCCCCAACACTGCAGAATGGCTGTTTTCCTGTCAGCAAACCCAGGTTCTCTCCCAATGTCAGTCAACGGTTTAGGAGGTACCAAACCTAAGGCACCGAGAACAATGGAGAGATGGACAACTTGGTTCTTTGGATGCAAGCGTGACATTTCGAAAGCGAGGTCCGCATATTATTATTCGCCATGCAGAATAGTAAGTATAATGTCATGTATCATATTTAAAGAATTGGAAATCATGAGGCCTGTTCAAAAAAGTATTTGTTATCTTACTCGATGCCGAGTACATGCGTGGATTTTGACATTTTGGATCGACTAGGACATGAACAATATGTGGATCATGGTAGCAACAACGTAAGTCTACACCATGACTACGTTGATTTATTGAATGACTGACATCACGTGCATACAGTTATTCTTTTCTCGTGTTTTTCTTCCATGGTTTACATGCGTCTTGCATGACGCAGCCTTGATACTTTACAAAAGGTAAAATAGTTTGTTGGTTTGTTGTTTGACGCCGTACGCAGCAGTATCCAAATATATAACCATGATCTGTAAATATATGATGTTAACAAGACAATCCAGTGATTGCCATCACGATCTTCACAATTGCGATACGATGACATTGATCAACCAAGACAGCAATCCTGACTACCCCATATCGTTAGTCTCCTCTTACGACAAACATGGGTTGCTGAACACTAATTCTAACCCAGGTCTTCAAGGGTCCCAATAGGTAATAACTAGTGGCGTTTGAATGTTAAATAATTGAATATTACCTTAGCAACATATGTAAATATAAGCAAATGTGTTTGGTGTTGAACGCGTTTCCTTGTTTTTAAACTCGTCCTTGGCTATCCGAAATGACAGAAGCATCTTACATACCGTATCTGATATCCTCTGAGGTATTTCTGTTGAATTGTTAACAAGGCCAACTTTAAGGCATTCACAGTAGTGGCAGCACTGAACTTGTTGTACTCCTGCTTGGGTGCCATCCAGGCAATCCTGAACTCTGGCTTGTCCCCCTGGACGCTGGGGGTATGTAGCAGGAGGGCAGGGAGAAGGAGGAGCACTCCCCAGGTGTACATTGTCCCTGGTCTACCAGCCCGGCACACTGACTGTACACTGTTCATCTGCCAGGTAACACACAAGAGTAAATGCTTCCAGCGCAATGATGACAAGTCGTCCGCTTAGTCCCATACATCACTCCTGGCGGGAAGGGTGACAAACGGAGGTGGCTAATTCGGGACTGTTACGGCCTGATGACCTGAGGGAGGTGACCAGACGGAGTGACCAGCATATAAGTTGTCAAGGAAACTCGGACAGTGGCACAATGGTCAAGATTTCTCTGATGTCCCATAGAGCGGAATTAGGTTCCTATCTGCAATACAAAACAATGACGTCAGGCTATATGAGCTGTTGCAAGACTGTGGACGGCAATACGTTTTGTCATGACAGGTTAATGAGATAGGAATGGCACGTACTGTGTTGCTCATTCGTGTTGGAATTAGATCCAGTATAACCACTGATTCAAGGGCTAGACCCATTGCTTTTGGGTGTGGCAGGCACAAATATGTTGACATTCTCGCAGCGTACATGGAGCACCTGCATGTCTTAAACAAAGTAACTGACAAAATTGTTAGAGAAAAAATTCGAAATGCCCAAAGGTATATGTTTGTTTCGAACAAGAGAATGCGTTCAGCAAACATCGAATGACATACATACCACTAAATGATTGATTACTACATACTTCATCTAACCTTCCCACAAATGCTGAGGGGACACAGATGGGGGGCTAGTTGTCTAAGGCACTGCATTGTGATGTGAACAGTTGCGTCCCTAAGTCGTGCCAAGATCTTATGATTGTGGGTTTCCATCTAAAAGTCCACCTGATTCTTGGTTCATAAATAAAGCGACAAAACACTTTCCATATCCAATAGAAATGTCTGCATAAGCATGGTCGACTATATCATGAGCAAGTGTTTATGAATCACTATCAAATAGTTATGAAAACAGGTGTTCGCGAAAAGGAGAGCGTATCCTGCCCCATCGGTGGCACCCGGCCCGTCACAAACACATGCAAAGGCAAGTCAATTGTTCACCTGAAAAAACCATATTGTACAAGTCAAAATAAGTCAAAACATCGGACATGACCTCCACATGTCTACCATAAAACTTCTTGAATGTTTTACTGAGGCCTTGAATGTTGTAACCTTGTAACTTCTTAGCAAGAGTCGCGTGACGTATGAGTCGTATAGCCATGGTCTTGTTTGTAGTCAATGTGGTAAACGTCTACGACCTATATCAATTCGGGCTTTCTTCCCTCGGTCAGTTGTAACACCGGTAACTTAAATACTGTTCAAAGCGGCGTCAAACCAACCTCACTCACTCACACATACTTTCGTAGTTGTAGAAGAAGAAGTAGTTGACGAGGAGCGTTTGCCTCACGACAAGTCTTAATTGAAGAATATATCAACCTTGGGACGACATGGCACTTTTAACATGGTGTAATTAAAACTGCTCGGTTTTGAACTTTGTCTGAGATGCTTACTTAATCAAACATTCTATTTGTAAACGGAAGCGCATGACACTACCACGCTGAGTGCACTTTATATCTTTGTGTGAGGTTTACACTGTATACGGTTTTACATGCCTAAGGGTACATGACAGCGAAACTGTCGTTCGTAAGCGTATGCAAGACACATTTTGTCGTTCATACGTTTTTCACGACACTTTATTTTTGATATGACTTGAATACTTCAACGTCCTTATTCAAGGAGAAACCCCTTGGAATTCCCTTGCTGGAATATATACAGAAGCGTTGTTTCTGATGGTCGAGACCCTCTTAATCTTGAACTAAGCGTTTTAGCATAGTGGGAAATGTCTCAGAGTTGGACTCCATGGCTGTGGTCGAATATCCTCTCCACGATACGAAAACGATGAAACAACGCACCTCCAAACAATCGACTCGAGCCATGGCTGGACTGACACCCGGTAGGCCGAGCTTACCCTTTTCGCGAACACCATTCATATAATTTTCACTGATGATTTGAGAACACCTGGTATCATCAATATTTAATGGTGATTCATAAACACATGCTCATGATATGGTGGAAATATTATATCGGTGATATTACTGATGGACTTGGAATACAAGGGTTTACAGAATTAAGTAATAATGTACTGTGATAACGTTGTCTGTAACTATGGTAAAAACACCTGACTTGCCTGTGCATGTGTTTGTGACGGCAGCCACCGTTAGGGCAGGATACGCTCACCTTTCGTGAACACCTGGTATTATCTATAATTGATAGTGATTCATAAAACACATGCTCATGGGGTGGTTAGAATCATTAATCGACTCTGCTTTTGGCAGAGATTTCTCTTGTATATGGAAAAAGTATTTTCTTTTTCATTTATTTATGCTCAATGGTATTTATGCTCAATGTTGTTTACATACGTTGATGTTTCATATCATTATTCATAAAAAGATTATTACAAAATTTTATTCAATCGCAGATGGAAAAAACCCGTTGAAATTGCAAATTCTAGGTCATAATTGAAACTGTAAACAGTAAGCAACATGATTGTTTGTACTTATACACCAAAACTTTCTCTTCAAATAAAAAACCAGATGTCTACAACAATGTGGCATTACTACCGGTGACCTCTTTTTACAAAATGATCATTGACAGGACTGCGCGGGGTGCTCAGATGAGGACTTTCGATGATTTAGGGGCCATGAAAGTACAGTGAATCAATCTATATATTCAATAACGCGATGCTATATTGAACGAATGGATCTCTCAAAATAGACTCACGGACAGAAGAAACGCGTATATCTAACATGTTTGTTAATATATGAAGAATTACCCATATTCAAGAGATATTAGATTGGTTCGACTCACGAACGAACATACTGGTACGTTGTGTGAACCGACGCTCATGAACGCATCACATGTGACGTCATAGACCCATTTGTCTCTTAGAGGATTAGCGTGTAACGTTTGGTAATCACCTGTAGCACATCGTGATGAGAATTTAGATACTGTGGTAACATTGTTAGTTTTGTCATTAAGTGGTACACACTGGAAACATCTCTTCTTAACGTACATACTTCTCTATATGTTTTTATGGTTCGCGTTTCTTTTTGTGGTGAGTATAGTTGAAATTGTAAAAATCTGAAATTTCTTTCAACTTGTTTCCATTTTCAAATAACTACGTTGTCAGAGCCAATCGTTCGTTTTAACAACTAATTTATTCTATGATTTTATCCACATCATCTGCATAAGTGACGGATTTGATGATTTTGTTGCTGACTATTTTTCAAAATAATCCCTCAGAGGTCCACACACTTCTGTCAATGATGCCGGGTCCTTTTGGTGGTATAAAAAGTCCTCCCAGCAAACCTTACAACATTATCATTTGCATAATGCTAGCCAGACAGTTATTACTTCATGTGTGGGAAGAGGTGAAAATCTGACGGTGCCATGTCTGGTGAATAAGGAGGATGTTCCATGACGTAAAAACCACAGCCATGCATTGCAGCCATGGCGACAACAGACTTGACCACAGATGCATTGTCCTGGTGGAACAACACACTTTTTGTGACTTTTCCACTTTAGCCGTGTTATTATCATGCAGTTGTCTTAGCAAATTACCATACTATTGTCCATTCTCAACAGAGAATACTTAGTCTGCAGACATGAATCCCACAGAAATATGCAGCCTCGGTTCAAAGGCAGCCTGTAACCAAGGAAAGTATTGTAATTAATCCATACAAGCTGTTGAGGTTGTACAGTCCTGCCATCGTAGGCTCAGAACACGTTAGGTTCGTAAGCCGTTTGGACATCCAATGGCTTAATCAGATCTAACAGGTCTTCAGCAACCCCTGCTTGCCGTGAAAGGCGACAACGCTTGTCGTAAGAGGCGACTAACGGGATCGGGTGGTCAGGCTCGCTGACTTGGTTCATGCATGTCATCGTATCCCAATTTCGTGGATTGATGCTCCTGATGTCAGTCACTGGATTATTTACAGACCGCCGTCTTATATCTGGAGTATTGCTGAGTGCGGCGTTAAACAACAACCAACCAAACAAACATACAACACATGGTTCCAATGGAGTGCAGTTATCCTCGCAGGTTTCAGTGTTTATTCTTACCATGGGCTTATGACCAGGGCACCACAAATACAAAGACATCTTTTCTTGTTTTATTAGCAATGTATTGTCATAACATAGTCATCTCTTATATCCGCTGTTTGATATACGCTGTGTGTAACGTATAGAATACTAAACGAGCTCCTGTGTAATACCAATTTTATGAAACGAGTGGAAAATTCTGGTATCACGTGGGAGAGCAGTGTACAAAGTTGACAAAACAAATATTGTGACACTATTGAACTTGGTACTCTACTGAAAGTGCAAAAACAAATCAAGTAAGTCCTTTGAGGTTGTGAGAATCCACATGGTATTAACTTCACTTGTCTCAAAATAAACTGAGGACCCACAGAAACCATACCTCTCTGCTGACTTCATCATATGTTTGATTTTCAATTGAAAATAGCGATACCATATCCGAATAGGGAACTGTATTGGCGCAATCAAAGAATTATTGGTTCTATTTTAAAAAAATCTTGACTTAAAACTTTTCAGTGGTCTCTTCATATAATTTTCACAGCTATTTTGCACTCTACGCCGAATGGAATGATTTTATAATTGTGATCCCACGAGGAAGCAGGATGTTCACAATAATCTGGGTCAATTTTTTTTTAAAATGACGAAGGTTGTTATTGCCAACTGCGATAATATAAACAGGCAGGTGGTAGTTTGAGATTAGGCAACCACAAGTAGTGGAGTTTACATCTTGAGCTGCCACGTGGTTGAGCACCAGCTCCTTTTTCAGACGCCATTTTACCCTCCTCAATAAAACATAACAAGGAGGCATCCCAACCACCTACCCCAACCACACCAAAACACACACAACAAAAAACACACACACAAACACACACATAAAGACACGCATAAACAAACACACACACAAACAAACAAACACACAAACCAAAACACACACAAACACATACACACACATAACACACACACAGGGGCTTGCAATAAATACTTTAGTAAGTTCATGTAAATTTCAGTTGCCAAAGGTTTACATAATTACTTCTCCAGTAGAAGCATCAAACACATCAAACACATCAAACACATATGGTCGACAGGTCAAGTAATGCTGTGAACCACATACGTCGTTATTCATCAAACAACACTTTGATCTGTTTGAGAGGTCGCATACTGCCAACGGCAACCGTGAAAGTGAATAGCGCTAAACTCATCATGGCTTTGTCACCTTAAAGCGGGGTACGTCTCATCACTTGTATAACGTCAGCTAGATATGTCATATTACTTGTATGTCGTCAGCAAGGTACGTCATGTTACTTGTATGACGTCAGCAAGGTACGTCACATTACTTGGATGACGCCTGTCAGGCATGTCACAGAAATTGATGAAATTGCATATACGTGCAGGTTGCAAGCCACTATCTGATCACACTAGCTGAACATGGAGGTGCCAGAAAGATCCGACAAAAAGAGTATCGGGTGGTTAGTGTCGGTAATGTGGATACTAACGAGATGTGGTTCTTTGATTGTGCTCCCAGGAACTGGGTTGTCTGGTCCGATGATAATCAAAGGCAACCGTGATATAGCTGACATAGAGAGGGATCCATAGTTCTAAGCCTAACAATCAAAACCAACAATTCTGAATTTTATTTACATAATATGCGTGCTTTCCAATACACTTTTTATATCGATAGTGAAGCTTTTCAATTCCAGTCGGGAAGACATTTTCTGAAGCCACCTTGAAAAACCCATTCACGGCAGCTTTGAGGTCATCGTTGTCGTTGTACGAAGACGTTCTTTCAGTTTAGGAAATATGTGGAAATCACTTGGTGACAGGTCCGGTGAGTATGGAAGATGAGGAAGCTTTTCGAAGTCACATTGTTGCACAGCACAGCGGTCTTTGCGAGTTGAGAGGTGTGAGAATAGGCATTGTCATGAAGGAGGAGAACTCCAGCAGCTAGCATTCCTCGCTGCCTTTCTTTGACAGAACCTCTCAGGCGATGAAGCAAATCAGCAGAGTACGCACCGGTAATCGTATTTTGCCTGGCTAAGTAATCAACAAGGATCACAGCCTTTGCATCCCAAACTACAGTGGCCATAACTTTCTTCACCGAATTTCAAGACTTGAATTTCTTTGGTGCCGGAGAAATGGAATGGTGCCACTCAATGAAACTTTGGCACTCAAAGGACATATATCTTATTCTTCTGGAAATGCACACGAATAATATTTTTAATCGATCCATGGTTTGGACCTATGTCTTCCTCAAGTTCAGCAGTGGTAATTTATTCTGTCTGACAGCATAATCTTTTCCTCCTTCATTAAATCTTCATTGATGTAAAGTGAGGCACGTCCAGGGACAAAGTTGCCAAACGTTTGACAGTGGAATTGCTAGGGCACTTCATTTCCGTGTCCATTTGAACCCCTATCACGTTCAACTGGCTGTCACTAATATACAAACGGCTTCAACAGACCAAATGTACTTGCAATGAACTACTCAAACAATGTACTACACTGACTAGTTCACTTTGTTTGTTTGCTTAAATTTAGTCATGCTTAGACCAGCCCTCGTATTGCTGATTATATAAGGTGATATTCACTTGATGATCCTTGCATGAGGCGGCCCAGTGACAGCAGAGTTCCCTTGCCTTGCAGAGTATATGGCGTCATGGAAAGTGATAAATATATAATTCTTCGGAATATGCCTTATCCAGGCTAACATACCTGACCTAGTCCTTTTTGATAAATCCATTGAATATCATTGAATTTTCTGTCCCTTTTGATACGAATGTGATTAACAAGATTCAGAAAAAAACATGGCAAAAATGCGGACCTCGCTTAAGACATGTCACGCTTACATTCCAAGTACCATGTTGTCCGACTCCCCATTGTTCTTGGTGCCATTGGTCTGGTACCTCCCAATCTGTTGACCAACATTGTGAGAGTATCCGGGTTTGTTGCAAGGAACACAACCCTTCTGACAATCTTGGTAATACAGAAGGCTGCAGTATTGGGGAGTCTTCACCTTCTCCGAAAAATCCTAGGTGGGTTCGACTAGGCAGCACTTCCTGGGAGAAGTCCCATTCTCTGGCTTGGCTCTGAACAGTAGTACTACCACTGCCATTGGATATTGTACTGCCGCTCTATTGTGTATTGTCACTGAAGTTTGTACTGCCACTCTACTGAGTTCTGCCATTGTAATTGTTGTGCAGTAATGTATTGATTTGTAAACCGTGTTAATGTCTAATACAATTGTTACTTGTATACCATTTGTTGGTTTCACACGGGATTATTTTACGTACATATTTCTGGGGTAACGTATAGTTCCAGTTTCGAAATCGACACGTAACAATACCAATAACAAATAAATGTATGCGTATTACAGTGTACGTTCTGACAAGTGTAACGCTGCTTTGAACAGTTATTCAGCTGTACGAAGTGTGGCTGAATAGTTCTGATCCTCACTACGAAGGATGTGTGGTACACCCTTACCAATTTGCATGTATTAAGTACAACATGGTCCATGCTTACAAGCTGCATGTGATCCACAAATACAACCCGGCCACATATTTCTGCAGGCATCAAACTGTCAAGGTATTCTATGTTGATGGACATAGTTGGCTTCCGCCCTCCACTGAAAGGGATAAATCCAACAGCAATCCACGCGGACATGGTGTCAGCTATAGGGGATGATGTTTCTTTCTTTCGTCTGTTAATATATGGGTGGGCAGAGGAGTTCAAGAAAGGAAGAGAGCCTCGAACATGATATAAGATCAGGATGACCTTCAAATGCCACCGATGAAGACAATGAGTGAGTGAGTGAGTGAGTTGGGTTTAACGCCGCTTTTAACAGTATTCCAGTTATATCGCGGCGTGTCAGCTTAGTGTGGGAGGAAAGCCCGAAGTGATGCAGGTCTCAGACGTTTACCACTTCGGTGAAACCCACGAGCACGGGTATGGTGCTGACAAACCTAGAAACATAATCGGGGCGAACCGGGATTCGAACCCACAATCATAGGTTTCTGGCGTGCCTAAGGGACGCAACTCTGCACAGCGAATCGCGGCGCCTTAGACGACTGGGCCACCCGTGCCCCCTGAAGACAATGAACTGAGCATGACAGAGGTGTCAGCACACTGGGTACCAAGGCTTCTCACTCCTGATCAGAGACGCTCCAGGTTCATCATCTCCGTGAGAATCTCTTGCGTTTTGAAGCAGAAAAAAATAATTGCCTTGAGTGATGTGTTACCATGGATACGTCGTGACTGCACCGCCATCAGCCAGAGATAACCTTGCTTTCAACTTCTTGATCATCATCCGTATTAACAACTTTTGTCACCGTCAGATATTTCGACCTCTTTATATTTAAAGAAAGAACTCTCTGGCTAGCATTATACGAATGATGATGATGTCATTTCTGCTGTGGAGGACAGTTTACACGTCCAGGAGGGTGTCTTTGACACCAGTGGGATCGTGTGGAACAGATAGGGGATTATGCTGAAAAAAACATCCGTAAAAAGCCTCAATCAACACAGTCCACCAATAGGCTGGAACCTTCAGCCAACCCCCAAATCAAGATGTGTCAGCTTGGTGTGGGAGAAAAGTGGCACAGGTCTTAGACAAATTTACCAATTTTCTGAAACCCAATTGCTCGTGTAAAATTGTGATGTTAAGAATCATGGCCAGGGCGAATCTGGGATTCGAACCCACAATCATAGGATCCTGCTACGATCAATTGACAAAACTCTGAAAACTATGAGATTTTGCTTCCATAGCTGGTAGTCTAAATAATGACAGGACATACGATCTGAAGAATCTTGTTCCTTACATTTGACTCACTTATCCAGCAGCCAGGGAATAAATGATACACACTATACAAGAATATATTACTTTATTCATGCCAGTATAATGTAACAATTCGTAAGGTAAAAAACATGAGGCACAAAACAATGCTTGACTGAAGCGAATTATCGATTGTACGTACACTGATGTTGATCATGAATATGTGGTACATGTTCGCACAGCAAGCTGACTTGGTTGGATTTCTTTGCTCTTTGGTCGTATTCGTATCAATGAAAAGTGGGAGTCAACTTTTGTAATTCAAACAAGTAACAGAATAAAATATACGAATTACCACCTTTTCAACCATCCAAATGAAAGCACACAAAAATTCTCCATTTGTGATGCAAAATTTCATTTTAAAATGTAAGTAAATAATAGTCACTGTAGATAAACTTTTCATATTATATTTTAGAGACGTATATGTACATGCATAAAACACAAACCCTCATGTTCTTCAATGATTTAAACTGGTGTTTAGTCGAGCTGAAGAACATATATTATTATGATACTTCGTTTCATTCAAAATTCCAATTTTCAATTTACAGCTACCTGCACTTGTTCTCTGTGCCAATATAATGATCTATGTATTTAATTCCCATTATCTCTATTCCATATGAGGACTTTAATGGCTGTTAATATAACCATCATTCGTGTACACAACTGAAATACGTGGCTTTGTTTTTTTTTAACCTATTGGCTATGTGTTAACAAAACAAGGACCACAACCGGAGCGAAGCAAGGCTTCCGAAACACAATCAGCAGATCCTGTCACAGCTAAGAGCCGTTTGTCGAATTGCATCTTGTATGTCCCATTCACTTAAGACGCTCAGTCCATGTTTAATGATTAAATCGATATTGATTTAATTAATTAATGAGTAAAAAATTAAACGACATGATATCATTTTACGCTTTTCACGGAAAAGAAAGTGAGGAATCCTTGCATTTTTTCCAATTGCCTCTGAAACTTTGACTTGTTGATGCTATCACAGACATACATGTACAATATTTGTTCACATCGTTCAGTTTCACTGTAGTTTGTTCAGTGTGTGACATTGCTACGTTTGATCATACAACTTGGGTAGAGGCCTCACGCTTGGATGGAAGACACCTTAACCTCTGTCATAACGCCATTCTGTTTTTCTTCAATCATATTGTTAACCTCGAAAGCAGCCGAATAATGAACCGAAAGTAATGACACCTTGAAATGTTTGAACTCCGTGAAGAAGGTGCAGAAGTATATGGCGGTGACAATAGCCAGGACCCATTCCATGGCGGTGGAGGCGACGTGGTGGCTGTAGCCCTGGGGGAAATAGAAACAAAATATAACTATTTAAAAATATTTTTAAAAATGACTTCATCCCCGTCCGCCTCACATAAATGTATTGTCTCCAACCCTACAACATCGCAAATTATATTCCCTCATTTCTTTGCTTGATGAAACACCTCATGGACGTACATGTACGGGCAGTCATACAAAAACGTAATTCTTCATGTGAATTACATTCATCGATACTTTGTATCAATAAATGAACATAAGGAAGAGCATATATTGATGTCAACTTCTTTATTATGAGGAACACAACGTTTCGGAGTATATGCTTACTCCTTCGTCAGGTGAATGAAGGAGTAAGCATATACTCCGAAACGTTGTGTTCCTCATAATAAAGAAGTTGACATCCATATATTCTCTTCCTTATGTGAATCACTTCTAAATGCCTTTCAAAGACCACAAATGAACAGTTGTGTTTTGAAAATATAAAAGTAAACTGCCTTTCGCCTTATATATTTGAAATGAAAAACGTATACACTAATACTTGATTTTTTGTCTTTCTATGTAGTTACGAATACAATGATTGAGCAGAGAAACCGTTTTAGATATTAAATATAATCTGTTACGGCCTCAATTGGTACACAATCTATATAATATGTAAATAGTAGTTTGTTTGTTGTTTAATGCTGAACTCAGCAATATTACAGCGGGGCTTGGTAATCCAGTGATTGATATTAAGAGCAACGGTCCACGTCGTCGGGGTACTGGCCATACAATCAACCAAGTCACCGAGTCTTACCAACCAACCAGCTACGTCGCCACGTACGACCAATTCTAACCAGGAGTCCCCACGGGGTTGGCTGATCGTCTGAAAGTGTCTTGGAATTACAGAGTTACCATTATTGCCCCTGACAAATAAAATACATGTTTCTCACTGGAAAAGATGGCTCCCATTTCGGTGTGATGTCAAAATGTGGTGCAGGTGTGGCTTTAGTTGATGTCGTTGTTGCAGCTGCTGTTGATGTTGTTGTTGTTGTTGATGTTGTTCCGCCGTCATCAGCTGCAGCTGCCATCTGTGACTCTATGACCACTGCGGGGCATAACAGATGATATTATAGAATAACTACCTATACTCATCGAAATACTCGTCGAAAGATCTATTAGGAGTGTATGTATCAGAATTTGAACTGTTCCATTGGAATAATATGGGTGGTCAAACATATGTTACAAATGAATTCTCTAATCACAGAAATATGTTCCATGGTCGGTATATTTCATATTTCAGACACTCATATACTTCTGTTAACTGCTGAAGGACAGTGTAATACCTCCATGACACCTACAGTCTTTGATGACGGGTCGAGAGCGCAAAGACCAAGCAATAGTTCATTCCATGGCCTCGAATTAATCATTGATAACATACTAGTATGTACATTGTCATTCTCTTTGTTAGATGGCAACAAATGATTGAAGCGCTAGTAAAATGTCGAGGACTGTCGGCGGCAGGAGTTATTACTTGAATATTATTCATTGATTGTTTGTTTGTTGTGGGATACCGCAAGGTTTTATTCCAAATCCAGAAATTATTGGGTTATGTAGCCAACACCTGGGACAGGTGAATCGGTCTTTGCATTTGACTTGAGAAACTCGAATTGTGTAGACAATAGAGTTGTGTTTTCTTTGTTTGTTTGTTTGTTTGTTGTTTATCGCCGCACTCAACAATATTACAGCTATATAGCGGCGGTTTGTAAATAATCAAGTCTGAACAAGACAATCTAGTGATTGACATTGTGAGCATCGATCCATGCAATTGGGATAAATGACATACATAAGCGAGTCAGCCAGCCGATCCAGTTAGTCGCCTCTCACGACAAGGATGGTCGCCTTTTGCGGCAAGCATGGGTTTCTGAAGACCTATTCAACCCGGATCTTCTCGGATAGAATATTATTCATTGATAATTTGGGACATTTATTGAGTGTGCTAAGTTTAGAAATGAAAACAATACGCAAAGCACAATACACAATGAAATAACATAAGGTGTTTCGAGCGTAGCGCTATGAGCAATTACTCAGTGAGAGATATAGAACCCCAAGCTTTAAATGATGTATTATCATCACCGTAAACCGCACAACATTTGTCACATCATATGGCCAAGCATACTGATTTCAGAGAAAATGTTAGTAGCATAGACACAACCTTACTGCAGATTGATGTAAAGGAACTATGTATCCTCATGACATGAAAGATGAATAATTTCTACGATGATATGACACCTCCGCTGGAAGCTATGACAACCAAGAGAGGTGATGCCAGACGCCACTCACCCAGTAACAGTGAGATGAGGTGGATGATGGTGAGAATGAGCCGGAAGTGACGCATCCAATCCCTGTGTCCGGGCAACTCGCGCATCCTAAACGTCATAATGGTCTGGATCCAGCAGTACACATTGCCCCCCACGAATGCTAGGAAGGCTCCAACTAAGTGAACTGGGAGCACGTTAGTTTCCTGAAATTCGATTGGACGTATTACAACAAGTACAGCATATGACCGTTGAGCACAGCAAATATCCACATTGTTGAGAGTACTGGAATTAAATCAACTGTGTAGAATGGGCATTGACATAAAACCTCCCTTAACGTCTCCGCAAGAGGTTAATGACTCTAAGGAAATGATTAAATCAACCGTTTAGAATTGTTCTGGGAAGAAAAACAATGAATCAGTACTTTAACAATTCAGTAGCAGTGTCATCATTAATATGTTGTTTGTTTGTTGTTCAACGCCATACTCAGCATTATTCCAGCATTATGACGGTGGTCTGTAAATAATCGAGTCTGGACCAGACAATCCAGTGATTGACATCATGAGCATCGATCTTCATAATTGGGATACGATGACATGCATCAACCAAGTCAGCGAGCCTGACCACCCGATCCCGTTGATAGCCTCTTACGACAAGCATAGTCACCTTTTACGGCAAGCATGGATTGCTGAAGACTTAATCTACCCCGAAACTTCACGGGTCTATCAATATGTATTTTATAAGACTATACACTAGTACATATCACACACGTTACATAGATTCAGGTGCCGTGGTCATGGCATGTCATTTACTTACTTCACTTTAAACACTATATCATCAACATAAACAACCGTGCCCTGTATATTCAGTAACATTACCTGAAAATTCGCAACGAGGTAAACTCCGAGAGCAGAGATGAACCCTATGATGAGAGCTACAATGTTGGTTCTGTGTAGAATCTTCCTGCCGCTGTCCCGGAACCACAGTTCTACGTGGCAGTACCGGATATACACACATATCACGCCTGGAACGAGTGGAAGTAAAGAAATATAGCATGCCAAACCAAGAGAATAAACAGTCTTGATTTTCCGCCGACACAGATTCCATTTGACGTGAGAGGCAAAATAGCAAGGAACATGATTGGACCACTGAAAACCAACGATGACGCCAGGTGTTCGATAAAAGGGTAAACATGTCACGCCCTACCGGTGGCACCCGCCATTTACATAATTTACCCAGAAAAGTAAGTATGCATTGCCTGAATCCGCACAGCAGTAATCCTGTCATGCGACGTCAGCCTGTAAACAGGCCAATCAAGTGAACGATGAACCAGAAAATCCGTTGACACGAAAGTGAATTTTCTCACTTTGTTGAAACTCACAAAAACGAAATGTTATTTCTGAACTACGCCTGTTGTGTACAAGTGTACAAGTGTAAAGGAAAACGATCATTCGTTTTGCAACACAGTGGTTGTGATTATAACATACGATTACAAAACAGATTGCTAGAGTCACTGCAGTTACTGAAAAATGTACCAAACGAAGCACTACCCTTGAGCCATGCTATATAAATACAGATTCTACTAAATTTGGAAAAAAAGTCAATTCTGATTGATCAATCAGAGGTATACAATTATACTTCCACGTTTGGTTTCAAATTCAATTTTAAGCGATTAAATCTACCGGCAAATAGCTCTACACTGAAAACACAGTATATGTATACCCTAAGTAAAATTACTTTTTTCTGGTCGTTTTCGCCTTGTGCAATTTTCAGACAAATATTTATAATAAAAATTAATACCACTTAAATGGGAATAAAGGGTTTTTCATGATAACAATTAATTACTGAAATAAACTTAATTTCGCGAACACCTGGTGTCAACATTTTTCTATGGTGAGTTCAGAACATTAGATGATGATGGTAATTGATGATGATGATGATGATGATGATGACGACGACGACGATGACGATGATGGTGATGACGACGACGACGATAATGATGTTGATGATGATGATGATGATGATGATGATGGTGATGATGATGATGATGACGACGACGACGTTGTTGGTGGTGGTGATGATGATGCTGCGGCTGCTGCTGCTGATGATGATATAAACGATGCGTACAATGACATTTTCTTCCTATGATTATGGGAAGTGTTGTGTATGTTTACAGAGCCAATGTACAGCCTCACGTATGCAATCATTTTAAGAGCTGCACATTTCCATACGTTACATGAGCTGTTATTTTTGGACAAACACAAAATGCTTCTATTCCTGAGATCATGGATTATGTTAATCATTCAAGCATTAGTAGTATCAACTGATGAACAAGACATGACTCTCCCAGGAAAACGTGCGTACTTAAAAATGCATACAGCCCTTGCAGGAAGCCAAACACACAGCTCTCGGGCGGGTGGGTCCCGGTGTCGCTGAAAGGAAAACGTAGCTGAGTTACCTATACAGTAAACTACGTTTATAACGAATACGCTTATAACGAACTGACGGATATAACGAACTTGTTTTTGTTGTCCCGATCATTTACTTATAACAAACTACGCTTATAACGAACTGACGGATATAACGAACTTGCTTTTGTTGTCCCTTTCATTTGCTGCACATATGCTGTAAATGCTTATAACGAACTACGGTTATAACGGACTAAAATTAGTGGTCCCTTTGAGTTCGTTATAACCGTAGTTTACTGTCTTTGGACATTCTAGTCAATTACAAAACGAGTGGAGGATTAGTGGTTTTTCATCCACACTGTGGATTAAAAAATGTAAATAGAATGATGGAACGTCATCGTATTTGTTGGACATAACCAGATTACAAAGAGTAGTTGTTGTTGCAAGGCTGTCACCGTTTTTTAAACAAAGTAACAGGAAGCAGGAGGCGTGTGTTCCGATTCACAAGTTTTGACATCAGGATCAGATACTGACGGTAGGAGTTAAGGAACGGCCACTCTCGGGTACAGCTGTTATATTACAGGATATATACAGGACATCACATGGTTGTAGCCCAGAGCCAGAGATTATTGGGTTATACAGCGAACACCTGGTGAATCTATCTCAGGACAAGGCTGGAGAAACTCCAGTACGTATAGACAATACAAACTAGACGAAGGTTTAAGATCGCTTTGTGAAACGGGGCACAGCCACGTCACTCAGAGTTCTGTTTTGTTTGTTTGTTGTTTATCGCCGCACACAGCAATATTCGAGCTATTTGACAGCGATCTGTAAATAATCGAGTCTAGACCAGACAATCCAGTGATTGACATCATCACTGACCACCCCATCCCGTTAATCCCTCTTATATGAGTGAGTTGTGTTTAACACCGCGTTTAACAGTATTCCAGTTATATCACGGCGTGTCAGCTTAATGTGGGAGGAAAGTCCGAAGTGATGCAGGTCTCAGACGTTTACCACTTCGGTGAAGCCCACGAGCACGGGTATGGAGCTGACAAACCTAGAAACATAATCGGGGCGAACTGGGATTCGAACCCACAATCACGTGCACAGGTTTCTGGCGTGCCAAAGGGACGCAATTTTGCAGAGCGCAATTCTACACAGCGAAATGCGGCGCCTTAGACGACTGGGCCAGCCGTGTCCCCCGTCGCTTCTTACGACAAGCATAGACGCCTTTTACGGCCAGAATGGGTTGCTGAAGACCCACTCTAACCCGAATCTTCACAGGTTCGTCACTCGGAGATTTATTCTGTTGAAAGAAGTATTGTTATTGAACACAGAAGTAAACACTGTTGTGCAATACGCGCTACTTGTTTTGTCAGGGACTTTACCTAATGTATGGGAACCTGGCGTTGACGTGGCCCAGGCTGACTGCAATGCCGTATCTGGAAATAGGGAAGAAGGTAACTAAAGAGTTCTTACATATGTGCAACAAGAGTTGACTGTAGGTTACACAACGCACATATTATACATCGGGCCTGTTAAGGTATTGGGCAAATAATTTACATGAGTATTCTCATCTATCTATCTATCTATCTATCTATCTATCTATCTATCTATCTATCTATAAAATAAAATAATAAAGTCCACGTTAGTAACTGATATAAAGAAGATGTTGGACGAACGTATTATTTCATTATATATGACATGTACACCGAGTGAACATTTGCCTTATTTTTGTATATATATATATATATAGAGAGAGAGAGAGAGAGAGAGAGAGAGGGGGGGGGAGGGAGAGAGAGAGGGGGAGAGAGAGAGATAGACATATATAGATAAACAGATATAGATATTTATACATAGTTATACAAAGTAATTCACGCAATATTGATATAACACGAATTATTTGAATTGACTGACTGACTGATTTACAATCAATAAAAGAAAGTTACCAAATGAAGTATTTTGTGTCGAAGAATAAAATCTTGGCGACTGTACACATATACATAGATGGATATATAGAGAATACTACACTCATTCTCGTCAGATACCAGTTTTACGAAACGAGTGGACTTTCTACGGTATCTGACCGAGCGAAAGCGAGGTCAGATACCTAAGAAAGTTCACGAGTTTCGTAAAAGTGGTATCTGGCGAGAATGAGTGTGGTATTTTATTGATTATCCACGTTAAATATATATTTAATTGTAAATACATAACAACTTTCGTTCGTTGACAGACCAAACTTAAACCGGTTGCAAAATCTGGTTGCGCATGAATATTGATATATGCCCAAATATGGGCATTGTTGACATTTCTATGCATACGCATTAACACCATGGGCCTGCAGTTGTGTTTGAAAACAAAACAGCACCGACGCTCAAGATCCTTTTGGAAGAAATTCTTCAACTTATGGTAGTTCAAGCGCCATTTTGTTTGTACGAAGAAGACGCATAAGAAAAATTGAAAAGTCACATTAGCGCCGCGCTTTGAATATCGGACTAACAGTCAGTCACTTGCACTGCCGGGGTCCCGTCTGTGCAATCAAAATGGTTCGGTTTCCGTGATCTATCAGCTGAATTTATATCCTGTCCGTACCATTTTGGAAGAGGGAAATCAGAGTGTTCGCCAAAGACATTCATGTTAACTGCACCACCCTATACTGAAGACGTGAAAATCAACAAACTCAAGTCTGCTTGCATGTCAGTGACAGCTTCGAACGATCGAAGGGCAAGGTCACCCCCGGAATAAGAAAAGACAACCGTGATCTACTCACAGCGTTTTACGCTAGAGATAGGGAATATTATTGTTCACATTTGGAATGTTTAGGACCACAAAATCAGAAGTCAGGCACACTTCTACGGAGTTTTCGAAAGGTTTGTATCAGAAATGTTCTATGTTCACTCAATGATCTGGTCGTGCAGTCGTGAACAAACAACTCCCGAAACAGTGCCACAAAATACGCTTCGAAGGGGAAACTGATGGCACAACCGGATCATCCCAAGTAAGTCTAGATTTCTGTCCAGATAGCTTAAACTGACTTCATTTCACCACGCTTATCCTTTTACGTTAAATCAAATTGATAGTTGCGAAAGTGGTCGGGTGCGTCACGCTCATGGGGACCCCCGATCTATTGATCGGTAGGCGTACTTTGTAAATGGATATAACTAGATTATATAATGTCTGTAGAAGATCTATGCATAACTTATATAAAATGCAAACCGAATTTGATGCGTGTGACTATCTTGTTTGGTTTAATAAAGTCTTTGTAAATATCTCTCGCTCTCATGAGATTGTTTCAGTTCTGCGCCTGCCTTGTTGTTGCAAAATGAATGACGTCTCGCGATTTTTTTTGAATAAAAAGAGTTGTCCCGGTGTGACAGAGGTCACGGTTATCCAATCAAACGAATGAAACAAGGTCAACCTTGTACGACACACGTGTGACGTACGGATTTAGTATCTTACCACCTGTGTCTTCACCACGTGGGTAATAAAGAAGGACTATGCGACTTTACCGATTGAGTATTCTTCGAACACAACAAACCACTCGGAAAAACAGACCAGGGTAGTTTGCTGTCGTTTAATGCGTACTGGGATCCTAAAGAAAGCCACTATATTATTCCTTTCCTTCCAATGAGGTTGTGACCCATCTTCCCGAGGCAAGGGAGTTAACTGACAGTAAAAGTCCAGTTTCCACCCTTGCCGAACTAGGGGGCGATTATGGAGTTATTTTGTGGCTGGACTATGGCGTTTATGCATAGTCCAATCAAAATAGCGTGACGAAACATCATGGCGACTGTCAAGCAGATTTCGATCGATTGCAGAGTTTGAAGAGCATGTGTGCCGTCAACTGCACGTCGACAGAAAGTTTCCAAATCTTTTAATGTTTTCTAACGAAGTTGTTCGAGTGACTTGATGCTCTTCACAGGTAAGACCAATTGTATTCCAATAAAGATCTTGATTATCGAGCGGATCGTCTTTACAGGGCGCCGCCATTTTGTTTGAAGCAAATGCAAGTGATATGAGAGATGGAATCTTATTGATCAATATGAGGGCCATGGAAGGGATGGTGGCGCTACGATCGAGTCCAGAAATCCCAGTCCAGTTCGGTAAGGGTGGAAACAGGACTTAAAATATCAGCTTGCCTCGGGAAATCTCCCTTGCATCGCGAAGAATAATATGGCGACTCGGGTACATACGTAATGAAACAGAAGATGGGCAGTGCGATGAGAAGCACGATGGGTAGAATCTCCACCTTGCACGTCATGGCGACGTCTTGTTGCGGCACGACGACGGATGGAAGGACCTTCTACTTCTGTAATACAAAACATTAGTTCTCAGAGAGAGATCCACAACCGTTCAATAAGCTTTTTGAAGCTCAACTTTATGAAGACAGCTGCACAGTGATTCAGGGACCTGTGTAACTCAGTTCCGGAAGTGACGCATTGTTGTTGCTATAGTATCCAAATACAGGTCAGACCAATAGATATGATTCTATAATGTAGCGGGGGAGTTGAGGGCACTAGGGCATAGACATACCACGTGGCCTACAGTCAGTCAATGTTGTTTTACGCCGCAATTGTCAATGCGGCTATGTGTATCATGGTTGGCAGTAATATGGTTAATAAAACAGTCAATGTCATCAGCAACGATCCACGCGAGGTACACTGACAGCCAATCAGACATACCATACACCGTGACCATCATATTCTCCTCTTCATGATGAGGTACACAAACAGGTACTCGAACACACACACACACACACACACACACACACACACACGCACACACACACGCACGCACGCACGCACGCACGCACGCACGCACAACACACGCACACACAACACACACACACACACACCATACGCACAAACACACACCACACACACCATACGCACGCACGCACGCACACACACACACACACCAAACACAACATGCGCACACACACACAAACACACATCACACACACCATACGCACGCACACACACAGAGAAAGAACACACATACACGAACGCACACCACACACACAGCAATCACCGCAGGCACTCTGTAATCTGTGAGGTGGAGGTTCAAGTGTCCACGGAGGTGTATGACACTCCGTCGGGTAATGACACATCTTCACTACCCGTCTGACAACCCAGTAATCTTATCAGAACGCAGTTACCAGGTACACTCTACAGCAAGGTACACATACACACATACACATATACACTGATGGAAATGTATAAGGGAACACTCAGTTTTAGACACAGTAAAATTATAGGCTACCATGAGTTCACAGCCTTGTCTAACAAATACGCGTTGGAAACAATGCCTACAAACACATCTCCACATTTGATTCTGACGTGTTGAATTGAGATGCGGGCTATTTCAAATGTACTGACAGTAAAGCTTATCTCCCTATATATTTCATTGCTCCCTTATTCGTGCCGAAAAGGGGCGGTCGGGTAGCCTAGTGGTTAAAGCGTTCGCTCGTCACGCCGAAGACCCGGCTTCGATTCCCGACAGGGGTACACTGTGTGAAACCCATTTGTGGTGTCCCCCGACGTGATATTGCTGGAATATTGCTAAAAGCGGCGTAAAGCCATACTCACTCAGCATTGGTGTCCATCAGGATATGACATGGAATAGTTTTGTTACTTCTATATGCATATACGGGATGCATGAAGAGCTGATTGTTCAACACTGTAGCCTAAACAACAATACTGAGGAACATGGAAGTCAATAATTTCTCCTGACAAGGAATGGATACAGGTGTTTTGGTCATGACGTGTTCTCACTGTCGTTATGACGAGTTTACTTCGTGTCTGTGTGTGTTGTATAACGCCGCGCTCAGCAATAGTCCAGCTGTATGACGGTCTGTAAATAGTCGAGTCTGAACCAAATAATCCAGTGATTGATATCATGAGCATCGTTCTATAGGTAGATGACTGGGGTACGATGACATGCAATATCCAACGAACATAGCCCGACCAGCCGCCCCTCACGACAAGCATGGGTTGCTGATTTCCATAATGAGTGAGTGAGTGAGTGAGTGAATATGGTTTTACGCCGCTTTTTAGCAAGATTGCCACTTTATAACTCATTATTATGTGACGTGCTTTAATTGGTTAGAGTTTTGTAAGGTATTAAACATTGTTCCAACAAAATAGGAACTATTTCAGTCTTCATTGTGTCTTTATGAAATATATTTACACTGAATGTTTCTACTTTCGGTTTGCCTCTATACTTGAACTATTTACTTATCGTATGCGAATCGCATTGTTTCGACTCGAGCCGACAGTATGAAAAGTAAACTCACGCAACAACAGCTTGAATTATATAATATTAGAAAATTATAGAATAGTTAATGATGGTGATCCAATACGCTGTTTATCGAATCTCTTGGTCACTCGTGAAATTTCAAATCTAACCACCCACTCGATGAAATCAACAGTGTAACATCATGAAATATCGAAAGTTCTTCCTTGTAATGGTCGTTCTTGACACAAGTTATGGTGACATATCTCGTTATTTTCGCCTTCATAGAAGCCGACCAGCTGTATGAAAGGTTGGTTTTGGTTGGTCTGTTGTTTTACGCCGCACTCAGCATTATTCCAGATATATGACGGCGGTCTGTAAATAATCGAGTCTGGACCAGACAACCCAGTGATTGATATCATGAGCATCGATCTACGCAATTGAGATACGATGACATGTTTCAACCAAGTCAGCGAGTCTGACCACCCGATCCCGTCAGTTGCCTCTTACGACAAGCATAGTCACCTTTTACGGCAAGCATGGGTTGCTGAAGACCTATTCTACCCCGGATCTTCACGGGTCCTGTTTGAAAGGAAATATATTTTACCCAAATACACAGTTACTGCTATACGCTACTGGTTTGTCTTCACACGTGGGTTGTTGTTAGAAGACGGATGAACAGAATTCCTTTACTGTTTTGTTATCAATAAATGTATATGATAAGAGAAGCAGTTGGTTTTGAGATGGCGGACGACATCGTGTGAGAGCCTCTCCTTCACGGGGTGGAGAGACTGTCCACGCCTGCAATCAGTGGTACAGGGGACCCGCCCCCACCATAGCAGACCTGGCATCCCGCACACGTAGAGGTAACTCCTTCGTTTCGGTTGAGTCACGTGTGTTTACAAATCGGGTAAATATATATATATATGTACGTGTCAGTTTAGTTTGAGATAATATGTATTTCGACAGCACCAATATCTACGGCATTACTCCATATAGGAATGCTCTTCAGGAGATAATCTCACCATCATTTGAATTAACAGTTTTGGTATCGAAGATGTTGTTGTGTTTATCAGCTATATGTAGTACTCATTGGTCAATCAGATGTTTCAAATCCCAGTATCATTTATCTGATTGAAACAGCTGATTTGATGGACGCGCCTATGCAACAGAATAAACATTTACGGATGGATTATTATTTTTTTATTTTTTTATTTTTATTATTATTATTATTATTATTATTATTATTATAGTGTGAATCATTTCTCTTAACGACTTGAGACGCGTGTATGAAATGAAACTAATTACTGTAATGTAACACATTATCTTAGTTCAAATTACAAATGCGGTGTTGAGCAATAATCACTCACTAACTCGTTCAAGAAAGTGCGGACTTCGATGGATTCAGTTACATGTGGATTGCTAGGACAACTCTAAACTTACACAGACATAACCTATGATTCCTTTATACACATATGTATAATCTGGACGATGTCAGACACTTGCGGCGGAACGTGTCAGTGTGATGTTTCCGATATTTCATGACCCTGCAACATTCTGAAGTAACGTCACAATATTTGCTCAGATATAGACACCTGCCTGTCTATAAGCTATCGATATTGGGCATGGTGCAAGCATTATAGTTACGATTTCCATGTTATTTTGTTATTGGGCCGCCTCCATGGTCTAGTGGTAGACCGCCCGGAGAGCGGAAGGTAAAATCAAAAAGAAGTTAAAAAATAGTGCTTGTTGTTACCCTGCCTGGCGGTCGGTATGAAGGGGCTAAAACAAGGACTGGTCGGCTCGGAGTCAGTCACTGTGTCTGTGTGGGATATTAAGGTTACACTCCGGCATCGTATTTCAATGGGTTAGCGCCATTAAATCGGCATCAGTCTGGACTACAACAAGCAGCCACACACACATACGTGCATGCACGTCGCTATATAAATGCAATAATCTTGAATTCGACGTTAAACCCTGACGTAGAAGCATTAACAGGTTGGTGTGCTGTGGTGGATCATTACAAATATTATTATTGTCGTTGTCGTTATTATTTCATAATAAAGTATTTCACTTAAACACCAAAGTATTGTCGTGTAAATTGCAGGGCAAAAGAATATATGCATCCATGTTTGATGGTGGCTAAAATATAACAAACAAGAAATGGTTATTCGATGATGATGTACATGTATTTGATACAGGTATCATTGGCGATATTACATGCATAATATCAATGAATATCTCACAACAGGTGACGTGCACATGACGTCTCAAGGAACATGCGGGTCGCAATTTCGGCTACTGTTCAAGAGAATGTTTTCTTTTGCCCGACGGGGGCACGGGTGATCTAGTCGTCGGAGGCGCCGCGATTCCCTGTGCAGAGTTGCGTTCCTTGGGCACGCCAGAAACCTATGACGGGTACAAATCCTGGTTCACCCCGATTATGTTTCTCGGTTTCTCAGCACCATACCCGTGCTCGTGGGTTTCAACGAACTTGTAAACGTCTGAGACCTGCATTACTTCGGGCTTCCCACATACAGCTGATATAACTGGAATAATGTCAAACGCGGCGTTAAACCCAACTCACTCACTCACTCACTCACTCCTGTATGCCTGTAAGCAAGAGCAGGGTGAGGATGTCTCCACTCTCACCGAGTCCTGACATGCTTTTGCTGATAACGCGTTGTCAGAGCCGTAGACGTTACAGGTGAGACGATTTATCACCTATACAGATATGTCGATCTGTACATAAATTATTTTACCAGCTACAGGCGGACACAGGCGACCCAGGCGCCTAATGCCAGAACTCTTTAATTGAGGGTTCGAATTCCAAGTTCACCTTGATAATATCTCTGTGTAAGCATCATACTTGTTTTCCTTGAGTTTTTAAAAAAAAGTAAACAAATGAAATAGTGTTACTCACTCACTCACGCAACCACTCAGCCATCCGATGCCCATCCCCAACCACAAACTAACGCACACACACCAACACACACACACACACACACACACACACACACACACACACACACACACACACACACACACCACACACACACACACACCAACCACACACACACACACACACACCAACACACACACACACACACACACACACACACACACACAAACCAACATAAAAACACACAAACACACATCACACACAACATGCAGGGATAGTAGCAGAATACTGGGACTACAGCTAACAGCGGCGTTAAACTATACTCAATCGCTGTTGTCAAAGGTTCAGTCGCGTTCCATGTGTTCATGGAATGTACGTTCGAGACAGGTTTCTGTTGCACATGTAGTTCTCGGCCACGTTACTCTCATCTGCAGTGTTGTCCACAACATTCAAACTACAATCAATGGGGAATCTAAACACCTTGCGTTGACAGAGAAGGACATAGGTTATAGGTCAACATTAACCATATGGAAACTGCTTTGTGATAATTCCTTGCATATTCAGCCTGATACTTTGTGACCGTGGACCTCGGCATTTTACCCGGAAGAAAGAAAACAAGTCAGTGTCGAAGATAAGAGACGACCGATACAAAATAATTACAGGTAAAAATGTAAATTGGTTTACCTCACCGGACTTCGATTCACCTGCAGAGCACAATGTCCAATTTGAGCTTGCTTATTCCGTGTGTTTACGCCTACACCCGTGTTCTAGTTGCACGAACAATGTGACTATGACGTTTCAAATCAGATCAAATATATCAGCATTCATTTCTCACCTGGCAACCCCTGTGACCGCACTGCTCGCTTTATCTCAAGATAAACATTGCAACATGCCGGTCACGTACGTCGAGTTATCTCCCCTTATCAGCCCCACCTCGAGATCGGATGTCTGTCCGCCGATGTGATTAATACACACATACACACATTGGACTATGTTTATTCATTATTGTCACAGCTTTATCGTTAACTCAGCAAAACCTGAAGGAAGGGTGTGCCACGCTGCTGCTGATACTAAATTATAACATACTAAGTGGTTCATTGTCTGGAGCATCAAGCCCTCGTTACGCTGATTAAAACATATCCATATTTGGGGGCAAGAAATTGATCCATTTTATTCAGCTCATTGAAACTCTATATCAACCAAGACGGTATATTTGTGTCAAGAAAAGATAATCCTCGGCTACAATCCGATATTCTAGTCAGTCAAAACTGGTATTCTGGATACACTCCGTAACGCGAGACCCGTGAAGATTCCGGGATAGAATAGGTCTTCAGCAACCGATACTTGCTGTAAAAGGCGACTATGTTTGTCGTAAAAGGCGACTAACGGGATCGGGTGGTCAGGCTCGCTGACTTGGTTGATGCATGTCATCGATCTCAATTGCGTGGATCGATGCTCATGCTGTCAATCACTGGATTGTCTGGTCCAGACTCGATTATTTACAGACCGCCGTCATATAGCTGGAATATTGCTGAGTGCGGCGTAAAACAACCAACCAACCAACCAACCGTAACGTGAAGGTTCCTCGCGCATGTACAGTTTGGTGACATATGGTTTCTCCGAACGGCCAATCCTTACGCCGGAGACATGGTCTGTTTCCTCAGATAGGACAGTTTCTCAAGTATACTGAGGGGCAGAAGAAAGTATGCCGAGTTTGTTTTTTATGTATTTGAAAATTGAAAGAACTAGTACTGTTGTTGAATTTGATTATGTCCATCAATCGTTCCTCCAACCGTTTGTATTAAATAATGTGTAGCTGGGTAATTTTGCCTGAAAATAATTTGATTAAATGACGACTGAGGTAAAGGGGGCGGTCGGGTAGCCTGTAGCTAGTGGTTAAAGCTTTCGCTCGTCACGCACGTCATGCTGGGATATTGCAAAATGCGGCGTAAAACCAAACTCACTCACTTAGGTAAGAAATAGATTTCCAACAACATGACCCTCTACCGTATTAGAAATGTTGCAAATTTATACCGATAAATCAAATTTATTAATTTTCAATCATAAGATTCTAAGATACCCCAAAGCAGTTGGATATTATTCAAACTAATTTATCTCAATTTTTTAAACTGTATTTTTAAAACTAACATGTAGAAGTAGGCCCCGTGAAGATGCGAAGTAGAATAGGTCTTCAGCAACCCATGTTTGCCGTAAGAGGCGACTATGCTTGTCGTAAGAGATCGGCGACTAATGGGATCGGGTGGTCAGGCTCGCTGACTTGATTGATGCATGTCATCGATCCCAATTGCGTGGTTCGATGCTCATGTTGTAAATCACTGGATTGTCTGGTCCATACTCGATTACTCATCAAACATATGATAAAATCAAAGGAGAGGTATAATTTCTTTTGCTCCTCAGTTTAATGACAAATGAATTTTTACAGTTGACGTGAGTGCAGATGAAGTGTAATCAAGAGATGTACCATGGCGGGTATTCATGTCTAGGGAGAGAGTGAGTGATTGAGGGATTGTGTGCATACTTGACACAAACGGAGAAAATATTACAATCGGTCTGAATAACCATGTGTTATTTTTCATTTAAAAACCTAGAGTTATATATTTTTAGGATGACACTGGAGACGCCTGATATTATCTGAGTCGTCAGAGGATGGGCTTGTCAGGTTACGACAGATGTTAGCTGTCACTCAATCAATTCTTTGTTCACCATGAAGGCCATCGGCCTATGTGCAAATAACAATTTACAAGTATGGTAGCGGCAATATACAAATACTTTCTCCTTTCATACGCGAGATAAACAGGCATATTTGTTTGATAATACTGTTGTGCTCACAAAACGGGGTCTTTCACAGAATTCATAGCTTGACGAATGACATTTCCACAGCTCAGAAATACGCTTTAATGATCTGAGGAGTTTGGAGTATTTTACAGGTGCTTTAATGCTGTCTATGGGGGTGTAACATTTATCTTGGCTACCGATTCTTTGTTATATCATCCTGTGAGAACGTGTCTATTGCTAAAGTAACCATACACTGACTTTAACTTTTACATAATCTGAATATCTTAAGTCATCTAAATCGCTTACATCAGTAATAAACACATTCATGATGCTCAACGGTTTAGCCAACACCTGGTTTCATCACTATTTGTAAACGATACATAAACACATGCTCATGATATTGTCGGAATCGTACACTGGAATTATGGGATTATGGAAATGGTTTTGCCGCTTTTGTTATTACCTTTATTATTACTTTTTTTTATTACTTTTATTACATGTACAGTATTACTTTTGTTATTAGTTTTGTGAAAAGGGTTTTGCCGATTTTTATTATTACTTTTATTCTTACTTTTATTCTTACTTTTATTATTAGTGTTGTGGAAATGGTTTTCCCGCTTTAATTATAATTTTTTTTATTCTTACTTTGGTTATTAGTTTTGTGGAAAGGGTTTTGCTGCTTTTATTATAACTTTTGTTATTACGTTTATTATTACTTTCGTGGGTGGGGTTTTGTCGTTTTTATTTATCATTCAACCAAGGTTATTTATCAACAAAATTAAAATTATGTCTTTCCATGTAATCTGCAGCAGAACATGATATATCTAGAAATATAAAAGAAATTGAAACGAACAATTCAGTACTTTTGTCAAGCTCCGATACTGAATCTGTAGGAGTAACGAGTCTGAATACAGCTGCCTTATCCTCATTTCAAACATAACGGTAGCTATCACCGGTACCACGTGCACCCGGTCGCCTGGAGAGAGATAGTCACTTGAATGAAAGTTACAAACCGACTTTGGCCGAGCTACGTTGTCAAATACTAAACAAAATGTATACAACTCGGGTGAGGAAATAACGTGACGGATTTAATAAAAGCTACAAAACCCTTTCTGTATTCAAAAGAAATATCTGCCAATAGCAGAGTCGACTTACTATTCCGACTTCCTCCCGAGCATGTGTTTATGAATCACTATTAAATACTGATGATACCAGGTTTTTGAAAAATGGTGAGCGTACCCTGCCGCACCGATGGCACCCGTCACAAACACATGCAAAGGCAAGTCAATCGTTTACCATAGTTACTGACCACGTCACCACAGGAGTAACAGTTTACATCAACAGTATTACCTTATTCAGAAAACTCTTGTATTCCAAGTCCATAAGTAATATCACCGACAACCACATCAGGCACAGATCTAATGCGCGCGTTCAACTCCCCACCGAGCAGGATATTACATCACATTTGATTAAATCTGATAGCATTTCAAGAACAAAACACTTTCCATATTCATAAACGTCGCTTGTTCCATTCCAACGTGAACATGTGTTCATGGGTCACTATTCAAGAACCGCCTCCGTGGTCTTGTGGTAGAGCGTCCGCCCGGAGAGCGGAAGGTCCGGGGTTCGATCCCGGGCCGCGTCATACAAAAAGACGTTAAAAGATTGTACTTGTTGTTACCCTGTCTGGCGCTCGGCATTAAGGGGCTAAAACAAGGACTGGTCGGCTCGGAGTCAGTATACTGTGTCTGAGTGGGGTATTCATTTTAAACTGCGGCATGGTATCTCAGTGAGCTAGCACTATAAATCGGCATCAGTCCGGACTAGTACAAGCAGCCACACACACACATACACGTCCATGCACGTCGCTATATAAGTGCAATAATCTTGGACGCGACGTTAAACCCAATTTCACCTCACCTCACCTCACTATTCAAGAGTTACGACACCAGATCTTCACGAAAAGGTGGGCGTATTACAGAGCCACCATGGTGTCGCGGCAGCACCATTACAGAGGCCTCTGACGACCTTGCGTTTGAGAAACGTGCCAATTTTCGTTTTTGGCGTAAATGTGTAGGTCTTTTGAAGCACTTTGCAGTGACCAATTCTCTTGAAAGTTTTTGTAAACGTTGAAAGGGTTATATTGGCTATCCGGTTATATTAAAATAACTAGCATGGTGTCGCGCATGCGCGTGCGGTAGCATCCTAACAGAAGCCTCTGACGTCAATTTGGACACCTTCAAACGCTTGTTGTTCATTAACGACCTTTCATAGCTGTGTCGGATTTGGTAGGTCTTTTGAAGCACTTTGCGGTGACCAATTCTCTTGAAATCGTTTGGAAACGTTGAAAGGGTTACACTGGCTATCCAGCTATGTTAAAATAACCACCATGTTGTCGCGCATGCGCTTGCGGTAGCGCCATATCAGTGGCCTCTGACGTCAATTTGGACACCTTCAAACGATTGTATTTCCCTAACGAACCCTTATAGCTGTGTCGCATTCGGTATCCCAAGTCTTACAATTTGGAGAGCTTTCCAACGAGCTATCATGCAAAAAATCGCAAAAGTACATCCAAGTGAGCAAACCGAAAAGACAATGGCCTACAGTGTGTGTTTGAGAAACGTGCCAATTGTCGTTTTTGGCGTAAATGTATAGGTCCTTTGAAGCACTATACAGTAACCAAATCTCTTGCAATCCTTTGTAAACGTTGAAAGGGTTACATTATCTATCCAGCTAACATCTGTCGTTTTACACATCAAACAGGATCTCGGCTGAGATACTTGTTGTTTTTTGTTTAACGCCGCACTCAGCAATTATTCAGCTAATTGGCGGCGGTCTGTAAATAATCGAATCTGGGCCAGACAATCTAGTCATTGACATCATGAACATCGATCTATGTTCTTGGGATACGATGACAAACATCAACCAAGTCAGCGAGCCTGACCACCCGATCCAGTTAGCTGCCTCTGACAAGCAAAGTCGCCTTTTCCGGCAAGCATGGGTTGCTGAAGACCTATTCTACCCTGGATCCTCTGGGGTTTTGTTTTGTCTGATATAGATACAC